TGTCTAAGGGATATCTCCACGCCCTTATGAGATGGTTAGCTACCAGACCTGTTGTTCCTGCAGCCTGAGATGACCGTGGGAGTACAGACACAGTGGAGACAGGCACTGGCCCCGCTTTTATTCTGTGTTAACGCTCCGGTCCCTGTCTAGTGACATCTGCAGCTCAGTCGGGTGAATTCTTTCCTTTAGCACAGCAGCCACCAAGTCTTTGTCACAGGGTGTGGAAACAGCAGTTGCAAACAGTTCGTGGGATGTACCCATCCCCCAACCTGTAGGGGTGTACTGACGTTAAAGGTTAATACTGGCCGTCCATTTGAGAACGTCCATTTGAGAGTCACCTGGGAGTCAAGCCTCTGGGCATGTCTGTGAGGGGTTTCTGCATTAGGTCTCTAGAAGTGGGAAGTTGGTTGTTTTTACTCTTTGCTCTTTGGAGAGTCTACCACCCAGCTCCCAAATAAACACACATGCAGTCTTATGATTACTTATGAATGCCTGGCCTTGGCTTGCTTCTAATCAGTGTTTTTTAAATTACCCCATCTGTCTTCTGCCTCTGGGCTTTTATTTTTCTGTGTTCTGTATACCTTTCTTTACTTCTTACTCTGTGGCTTGCTGTGTAGCGTGGCTGACCCCTGATGGCCTCCTTCTATTTATTCCCTCTGCCTGCTAGCCCCGCCTATCCTGTCTCCTGTCTAGCTATTGGCCATTCAGCTCTTTGTTAGATCAATCAGGTGTTTTAGGCAGGCAAAGTAACACAGCTTCCCAGAGCTAAACAAATGTAACATAAAAAATGCCACACACCTTTGCATCGTTAAACAAGTGTTCCACAGCATAAACAAATGTAACACATCTTAAAATAATATTCCACCACAAAAGCCCATCCTAAATTGAAGTGATCTGTAAGCTGAGGTCCCTGCCTGAATAAAGAGAGAAAGCAAGGTGAGCACCGGCCTGCCCCACTGCTTCCTGACTGAGGATGCTGTGACACAATGTGACCAGCTACCTCATGTTTCTGCCACCATGCCTTCCTGTCATAATGAATGATAACCTTAAGCTTTGAGCTCAAAACAAAAACAAAACCAAAAAACCTTTCCTTCCCAAAGTTGCTTTCATTGGGGAATTTCATCACAGCCAGATGTGAGAAACTGACCATCGATCATTAGAAAAGCCTGCATATTTTCTTTTGTCCTCCATGCTAGAGAAGCCGTTGAATCCCTACCATCATGTAGATCATGGGAGCGAAGACAGGAGGCACAATGTGTTAGTGTGATTGCGCTGCTGTGACAAAATGCCACTGCTGTGTCTTTTTTTCTCTTTTTTTAAAAATATTTATTTATTATGTATACAATATTCTGTCTGCATGGATGCCTGAAGGCCAGAAGAGGGCACCAGACCTCATTACAGATAGTTGTGAGCCACCATGTGGTTGCTGGGAATTGAACTCAGGACCTTAGGAAGAGCAGGCAATGCTCTTAACCTCTGAGCCATCTCTCCAGCCCCCACAGCTGTGTCTTTTGTAAGAAGTAGAAATTTGTATCTTATGGTTCTGGAAGTTCCAGTCCTGTTTGGGCTGAGTCACTCGTTCCCAGAATGGACTAATTCACGAGTCTCTGCATCAGCTGTTTCCCATTGCAAAATGAAGCCCCTTTAGGCCGTTGTCTTTTCATGCAGGTAAGCAGATTAAGTCTGAACATGAGTTTTGGACACAGTTGTTCAAACTATAGCACAAAGAAACAAATTTGGGTAAGGGTACTGGTAAGAAAATAAGTCTGAGGAAGTAGATTTTCAAGATACAGATAATATACATATTTATCTATATAATATATATATACATACTATATCTATATCTATAGTTGTATCTATAGTGGGTATATGTGAGCCTGTTTGTGTGGTAACATGTGAGTGTATTTGCACACAAGTGTGCGTACGTACATGCATGTGGAAGCAAGAGGACATCCTTAGGTGCTCCTTAGGCACTGCTCACCTTGTTTGCAAAACAGGGTCTCACATGGTGACTCACCAAGCAGCGAGCAAGCTCTGGAGACTTTTTGTCTGGTTTCACATCACTGGGATTACAGACACAGGCCACTATGACCGACTTTTGTCTCTTAAACATGTGACCTCGGGATCAAACCCAGGTTTTCACGCTTGCACAGCAAGCGCTTGACTGCCCGAGACATCTTTCCAGCCCTTGAGGACGTGGTGTTTTTGTTGTTGTTTTGTCTTTTGAGACAGGGTTTCTCTTTGTAGCCCTAGCTGTTCTGGAACTCTCTGTAGACAGGCTGACCTTGAACTCATAGAAATCCACCTGTCTGTGTTGGGATTAAAGGCGTGAATTACCAGGTCACATGTTTTTTTAAGGTAGACTTGAGAATGTTTGTTAATGGCTGGGAAGTGAGGTCAAAAAAAAGAAAAGACACCAAGGACAAGCACAATTGTTTCAGAACACTCAGGGGACAGTAGGAACGTCTGATGGGATTGGGAAGATGGGAAACCTTGGTTAGAGCTGAAAAGATGGTTTAAAAGCACTAGCTACTCTCCCAGAGGACCCAGGTTCAATTCCTGGCATCCATATGGCAGCTCACAACTGTCTGCAACTCCAGTTCCAGGGAATCTGACACCTTCATACCAAGTTAAATAAATATTATTTTAAAAAAGAACCTTAGGCCCTGTAAACCTTGGGACTCTGTCAGACATTCCAGGGGAGATGTCAGGTTCATTGTTAATTTTTGTTTTATCTATCTATTTATTTATTTTTGAGATGGGGGGTCTCATGAAGCCCACACTGGCTTCAGACTTACTCCACAGCAACAGGGATGACCTTGCACTTCTGACTCTTCCGTCTAGTGTGCATGAGTACCACAAAAAGCTTATGCAGCATTGTGAGTCGAAACCGGGTTTCCTGCATGTTGGGCAGGCACTCTACCAGCTGAGCCACAATCCCAGACCAAAGGTTTTCCCCATCAGGTTCATGGGCGGCATCGGGGGATATCTACACTTTATTCAACCACATTAAAGAGCTGGAGAGACGGCTCAGCCATTAAAGGCTAGGCTCACAATCAACCACATTAAAAACATCCTACAAATTGCTGTCTCATTTACTAACTTAGGAGCTATGCATATTAAGCATCATCAGTAATGGGGACCTGCAAAGATTACACACATTCATGTGTTTGTGTATTTGAGATGGGAGGTGCCTCTCTATATTGCTCAGTCTTCCTTTGAACTCTGGACTCAAGGGGATCCTTCTGCCCCAGTCTCCCAAGTATTTCTTACTCCACCCACCTTAGTCACTGCACACCAGTTTAAGGAGAGTTTTTTTTCCCTCTGAGACAGGGTTTCTCTGTTTAACAGCTCTGGCTGTCCTAGAGCACACTCTGTAGACCAGGCTGGCCTCAAACTCATAGAGTTCTGCCTGCCTCTGCCTTCTGAGTGCTGGGATTAGAGGGGTGAACACCACTGCCTGGCAGGTAGTCATCTTTAATAGAAAAAAGTAGTTTATAGAACAAATGCATGCTTCACTATGTATTTGAATGGAAGCATGCAAGCCAACAGATTAGAATACCAGTTGAAGAGCCCAAGAGTAAGGGTATAAAAATGTAGATTCCAGAAATAAGAATGTAGAAATAAAGAAATGTAAACATGTAAGCCTAGGAGAAGGAGAGCAGGCTATCAGCAGCTTTCTCAGCAGCTTAAGGATTAACTATTAACACTGGGCTACTCTGCTTTACAGCCCATAGCTCTGTCTGCAAGACTGAAGCAGCCCTCTGCAAACTGAGGGTCAGCTTTTAGAAAACCCCCTGGCGACTCATGATCAGCAACTGATGTGAGCTGAGCTAACTTTTAAATGACAGGATGTACCTGACTTTTTGGTTGTGCATTTTTCCATACCCTTCCCTGCTACACAAAATTAGCAGTCTCTGGGGAGTGTAGAACTTTGGTAAATACAATCAGAAAGTGCCAGAAAAAGACAATGGGCAAAATGCATACACTAGTTTAACTAAAAAAGACCCTGTTAATGGAAATTGTAAAAAAAAAAAAAAAAGCAATTTGTATCTGAGTTTTACCTTGAGCTTGTAAAAATTCTTTTGTTCATGCCTAATGCTTGCTTTTTGCTATAAAAGGGGACTTGGGAAACAGCCCATTGCCACAGCCTTAGAAGTCCATCCCTGGTTGTGGTCTCAGCTGATAAGCTTTTTGTGCCCCATAAAGATTTATTTTTTTTAATTTTTAATTTTTTTCCTGGAATAAAGTTTGCTTCTGGTCTAATAGACTTTGGTGGTCAGTCTTCCATCTTTGCCTCGTGGACCCAACACCAGTCATGACATTTTCAGTTATTGGGATTACTGTGGTCTTAGTCACTGGTCTTTTTGTTGTTGTTGCTGTTTTGTTTCGTTTGTTTGGGGAAACAAGGTTCCTCTGTGCAGCTTTATAACTTGTTCTGGCACTCACTTTGTAGACCAAGCTGGCCTCAAACTCACAGAGATCTGCCTGTCTCTGCCTCCCGAATGCTGGGATTAAAGTTTTGCTTGTACCTCAGACTGAGCTCGAACTCTCTGTGGCTGGGGATGACCTTGAATTTCTGGCCCTCCAGCCTCCACCTCCCTGGTGCTGGAAGAACAGGTGTACACCCCCAGGCTGGGTTTATGTGGTGTTGGGAGTGGAAGTCAGGGCTTCATGTACTCCAACTAAGTCGCATCCCCAGTTCCAACAGTTTGGGTTTTTTGTTGTAGTTTGGTTTCTTTATTTTCGATGAAGAGAATCCACAAAGGTATCTTGCTCTGGACAGTGCATGGCTGGGTCACCTGTCGGTTGGGAGGGCGTCAAGGTGATGCTGTGATGATGGGACCTATCAGGTGTGGAGCCCCAAGATACCCAGGCCCCGCCTCAAAGCTGCGTGGGCCAAAAGAAGTGGGCGGACCGACGGGCGCGCCTACAGATCACGTGGCGGATGCGGGCCAATGGCCGTCTCCGAGCCCACCTTGAGGCCGGGGCGGGGCGCCGGGCTGGCGTCACCAGGACAACGGGCGTCGCCGGCGCCGTGTGACTCCGGGCTGTGGGCGCGCTCGCGGCCATGGTGAGTCTGGGGCCCGCGCCTGCGGGGCAGCGGAGATGCTGGGCGCCTAGGGGAGGGTGCGGAGAAGAGCCAAAGCCTGCTGGGCGGGACAGGGCCTGGCCGGGCAGGGTCGGGTCGGGACGGGTGAGGCCGGGCAGGGCAGGGCAGGGCAGGGCAGGGCAGGGCAGGGCAGGGCAGG